ATATTTATTCACCCAAACCATATTTGGTATCAATGTTATACCTAACACAACCCATTAATGGACTCAAACATAGGACTGGATGAATGGACCCCTTCAGATTCCTGGAATTTAAAGATGATTCCCCTGAAGAATCTCTGGACAGGTATTCTATCGGTGAGGTAGGTAAGGTATAAGAAGTAAGAACAACTTTCACTTATCTCGGAAGGGGATCCATTAAATTCACCTGATTTTCCAGGTCAAGTGACACAAGGCACCACTGAAGATATACTAGTGTCCCGATTGAAGGTAGAGGCAGAACAGAGGCCACATAATTGTTCAATGAGCTAAGTTGTTACGGCTAGCTTGCTGTCTTCAGAATGTGGGATAATCGACAATGCCATTCCAAACTTTGGAAACTCAGCTTGCTATCTTCAAGAGTGTGAGGTTACACAACAATCTTAAGACTTGTAGATTTTTTGCGCTATGTTCAATGAATTATTATAGGTGGCATAGGGAGTATTGAACATCTTATTGCTTGAGTTTGTAATAAGCATTTCCTTCAGAGTTTTACTCTGAATGTGTGTCTAGCTTTGATTCTAAAATTGTCTAGGTTAGCCTGATAAAAACAGAAGGCTCTTAATAATATTGTTACTTGTGATCATTTCCTGTCTCGCGTGATACTGTTATATCATGCAAACAAGATTCGCCCACTAAAACAGGTTGAGTAGAAGCTGGGGCAGTGGAAGTATCGAAAGTGCACATATTATTGATGATTGTTACTACTAGATGATTAGAGGTAAAACTGGAAGAACCATATGGCTAGAACTGCATGCTCTTTTGCACATTAAAGCAATCTACAAGACAGCCTGCTCTAATTCATTAACTGATAAAAACGGGAAGACTATAATTCTCTTAATGTGTTAGTTTATATGTTTGCTGGGTTTACTCATCTCTTTCCATTTTTCTTATGCATTTTTTAAATGATACATAATTTCTTACATGAGCAATAATTAAAGCTCCAGGGATATCATTATCATAAACAGAAGAAACGGAAGATAATCATCACCAAATTGTCTGGGTGCAATTTCTTAATAAAGCACCTTGTACTTTGCAGGACCAAATTGCTTAAATTAAATCTTAGTGTTTTAATAATATTCCTTCTGTAAATCTACTGCTTTCCCAAGGCTTGGTATCTTTGTTTTTTCTGGTTATTGTTGGTGTTATTATTTCTATTTTGGATTTTTTTTAAAGGGTTTAATAGGAATATGCTGTATTACTTATTTTCGTGCATTTCTGTCTCTGATAGGGATAGAGATTGTTCTCTAGCTGAAAATGTTTATTGCTCTTTTTGGGACCACATGGTGAACAACAAAACGCATTATGAAGCACCAGCAGCCACTTCCTTAAGCCTTATCTGCCTTCACTCTGTTGCTAGTTTGCTAGTTTTTGCCTCTTCCTGTTTTCTCTGCTATATGTACAAGATGCATATAGTAGTAGCTAGGCAACAAGGAGTTGAAACATGAAAATCCCATTATTTTTGTAGTCTTTCTGCATTTTTGTCATCCCCTATCAACAATATGTTTGATGTAATAGTTATCAGGCTAGAAAATAGGGGACCATGAGCTCTAGTCCCACCTTAGCTAGAAAGCCAGCTGGGAGATTTTGAGCCAGTCACTTTCTCTCAGCCCTAGAGAGAATGTAAGAGCAAACTGCTTTTGAAATCTTGCTAAAAAAAAAAAAAAACTACAGGGACATGTCCAGGAAATTGTCAGGAATCAGTCTCGGCTTGGAGGCACAACATCTGCAAGATGGTTATTAATAGCTGCAACACTTTAGTGCAGAATATTGATGTTCAAATTCCGTAAAACTTTTTTAAAAAAGTTACTAGCTATGACTTCTTTACTTCCTCTTTTACCATTTCAGGTGTCAGGGGAGAAACAAAGTTTTGGCTCTTGCTCTTCTGGCAGCCTCAACCATTGTTATCTGATGCTGTTGTAGTGTGCTTTGATGTTGCTTCTCCATCTTCTTCCGGATCTGCCTTGTGTTCTTTGACCTTCTCTTTTTGTATATGCCTTGTTCAGTGTAGGACTCCCATGACATCCTTTTCAGGTGAGCAAACCACTTTATTTGCTGTTTTTGTGTATAGTTTAAGATTGGTTCTATGCCAATTCTTTCTCTTATGGTCCCATTTCTGATTTTATCTCATCTGGCCACTCTGGCAGCTTTCCTCAAACATCTCATTTCCGTGGTGACTAACTTTGTTCATGTTTTGTTGTAAATGTCCATGTTTGGCCCTGGTCACATAGGGTGGGGATGAGTAGGCCTTATATGAGATGCTTCTTTGTGCTGATTGGTACTGCCTTATGTTGTAGGAGTGGAGCAAAGTGTCCCAATTCTTGGTTTGCCTTATTGCATTGTATATGATCCTAGATATTTGATCTTTGATACTTCTTTTATGCTTGTTCCTTCTATTACTGCGTTTAGAGTATGCTTTTTCTTATGATTAGGCTGCCAAAATATTTGCAAAATCATATGTAAATTAACACACAATACAGAAAAAATGCTGAGGCCATAGAAAATGTGCAGAGAAGAGCCTGGAGGCTAAATCATATAATAAATGGTTAAGAGAATTAGATATGTTTAGACTAATGAAGAGAAGGCTAAAGAGAACATCTAATGGAACAAGCTTTCCTCCAGAGTTGTGCATGCTCCATCACTGGAGGTTTTCAAGAAGAAATTGGATAATCATTTGTCCTGGATGGCATTAAGGATTCTAGCCTTGGACAGGGGATGGACTAAAAGACATCCAAAGTTCTTCCAGTCCTATGATGCTATGATTCTAAATGAATTTCTTCATTTTGTCATTAGACTCTCATGGAATTCATCAAGCTCTTTAAGAATCTTAGGTTCCATGGAACAGTCTAAAAACCCTGTTCCATGTGACATTGAGACTTTGGACAACACCTCTACTAGAACCTTTGGTCCAGGGCTTTCATGAGGATGAGTTAGCATTAGCATTAGTGAGAGTCAGTTTCATGTAGTGGTTAAGGTGCCAGCCTAGAAACCAGGAGACTGTAAGTTCTAGTCTCGCCTTAGGCATGAAGCTGGCGGGGTGATTTTAGGCCAGTCACTCTCTCTCAGCCCAAACCACCTCACAGGGTTGTGGTGGAGGAAGGAATAGTATTAGGTGTTCTCACTACCTTGAGTTATAAAATAATATAAAACAGGATAAAAACCTAATAAATAAATAGTGAATGACCTCCCCCCCCCCCCGATTGTATGGATTTTCCTTTCCTTTTTTGTCATCCTTGCCATACTTTTTTCTTTGTATTGTCCATTATTGCATTTTTTTAAATTGTTGACTTGTTAGAATTCATTACCATTGAATACTTTTAAGAATCAGAGGGTGGTATCTCAGAATTGTTATTCTCTCGTAATCTTCGTTCTTATACTTTAAGAACAAATCAGCTCCTCTATTAAGATAATCATCAGAAGCTGTGCTTCAAAGGATAATTGCATGGCTATTAAAAAAATAAGCCATTCTCTCTTTTTCACATAACTTTGATTTTATCCCTTTTAGGCACCCTATGATTTTTTTTATTAAAGCCACCAGTGGGTAATTTCAGTTTCAATTGATTGATATGGCAGCTTTTTTCACTTATTTGCTTTGAAATTAGGTTGTTACACTTGAACTTGCTTTTTTGTTTTCAAAAGAATTTCACTTTATTTTTACATTAGCTGCTGTGACATTCAATAAATGGAAAAGTGGTACCGAAGCTCTCCTAACAATAGCAATAGCACTCAGACTTATATACCACTTCACAGAGCTTTACAGCCCTCTCTAAGTGGTTTACAGAGTCAACATATTGCCCCCAACAATCTGGGTCCTCATTTTACCGACCTCAGAAGGATGGAAGGCTGAATCAACCTTGAGCCGGTCAGGATTGAATTGCTGGCAGACGGCAGAATTAGCCTGCAATACTGCATTCTAACCATTTGCACCACCACAGCTCAAATAGTCTGGACACATGTTAAAGGACCTGGAATGGAAGATTATAATGCAATCCGGACACTGAAGCAACATGTTTGCTTGACCAATTTCTCATTAAAATATATATTTATTTCAGTTTCTTCTTATTGTGCAAAAATACATTATATATATATATCTATATCTATAAAAAGGTAAACTAAATTTGCAGTTCTGAATTCATCCTCACTATCATCAGGATTTTCACATGCAGAAAAGGTACAAACTGGTAAGAGCCAACATTGAAGCACATAAAACAATATACAATTCCTTTCTTGATGTCATCCCTTTTTTATTTTTTGAGCGAAGTGCAGAAATGGTAGTTTGATATTAAATTGTAGGTGCGCACAAACATCAAAATAATTCCAAAGTGCTTTGGAACAGAGTACAGCCTCTCTCCCGTTCATTAAAGCAGCAGCACCTATTTACTGACGCTCACCTGGAATAAGTTTTGCTTCTTTAATGAAAGGAGGTGCTGCTGTGCTTGTGCAAATCCAAGTAATTTCTTCTTAATTGTTTTTTAAGCATGCGCTGCCCTAGTAAATATAAAAAATGCATTTTATTTTGCTTTTTTGTGACACTGAATTTAATTTTCCATATTTTGGGCAATTTGATAAATTATAGCTATAGTCAAACATTTACCGCAACAGATACATGAGGGACAGACATTTATTTTTATGTTGTTTTTAAGGCACATTCAGTAAGCATGTGTATTCACAATTTCCTTTGGTCCAGGACAACTTTTAACGGTTGGAGGCTGTTTATCCAGGTAAGTGAGTATGCAGTTTTCCAAGGATATCTGTATCCTGCCCGTAAACGTCTACCGCATGTACTGTATGGATGCTCTGTATACCACCACTATGTCCAGGGGCCAAAAGTTTACCAAATGCATTACTGGTTTTTGCCGATTTATTTTGTAAGTCACATTCTCCAGAACAGCGTGTTTGTGCCATGTCTCTAATCCAGTCTTCTTTGAAGCTGAAAAACAAAGAAGAGGCATTCTTTTTATTTACTTGGAGGAGAAAAACCAATAGTTTTGGTTTAATTTAGCTACAGTTTTGCAATTTTGCCTGGCTTCTGAAATTAAAAGCACAAGTAAGAATGTAAAATGCATAGTTAATATTTTTGTAACATGAATAATTACAAAACTATTCAACAATAGTTGCATTAATTTAAAATCAGTCTACACACCAGATGTGTACTGTTTGATTAAAAAAACAATAAAAGAATATCAAAAAGTACAATCAATTGCAGTTATGTTCATGTAGAAGTACTTAAAATCATAAACTTTATTCCCTGAAATGACATAAAGCCAAGAGATGTTTGACAATTTTAAAACATTAACCAGCAAATAAATAAATACATACATATACATACACATACATACATACACATATACATACATACATACATACATACATACATACATACATACAAGCTTGTTAACTGTATTACTGGATGAACAGAATAGAATTCTTTATTGGACAATTGTGATTGGACACATATGGAATTTGTCTTTGGTGCATAAGCTCTCAGTGTACATAAAAGATATAAGTGATAAATCATGATCATAGTCATCAAAAGTACGTTCAATATGAATCATAAGATACAACACTTAGTGATAGTCATAGGATACTAAATAAGCAATCAAAATCATACTAGGAAACTAAATGATATATAAATTGTAAACAAGGTTATAGTCATAAGTAGAAAGGAGACAGGTAATAGGAAGGATGAGAATAATAGTAATACAGTCTTAGTAAATAGTTTGACTGTTGTGGGAATTAGATGTTTAGCAGAGTGATGGCATGCAGGAAAAAACTCCTTGTGTCTAGTTGTTCTGGTGTGCAATGCTCTATAACATTATTTTGAGGAAACTGTTTATGTCCAGGATGTGAGGGGTCTGTAGATATTTTCACAGCCCTCTTTTTGACTCATGGAGTATACAGTTCTTCAATGGAAGGAAGGTTGGTAGCAATTGTTTTTCTACAGTTTTAATTATCTGTTGAAGTCTGTGTCTCTCTTGTTTGGCTGCAGAGGTGCAGATGACAAATTCAATAATTCTTCTGTAAAACTGTATCAACAGTTCTTTGGACAGCCTGAGCTTTCTGAGTTGGTGCAGAAAGAACATTCTTGTGTTTTTTTGATGACATTTTTGATGTTAGGTGTCCATTTTAAGTCTTGAGATATGATAGAACCTAGAAACTCGAAGGTCTCTACTGTTGTCTAGGATTGTAACAGGTGGTAGTATAGGAGGGTTTCTGCTAAAACGTACCATCATTTCTGTGGTTTTGACTGTGTTTAGTTCAAGATTATTCTGGTTGCACCACATAGCTAGGTGTTCAACCTCCCATCTGTATGCAGATTCCTCGTCTCAAATAAGACCAATCACTGTTGTATCATCTGCAAACTTCAGTACTTTAACAGATAAATCTTTTGAGATGCAGTCACTGGTATATAGAGAGAAGTGGAGAGAGCACACAGCCTGGGGGGGGGGGAGGGCTGTGCTGATTGTACAGGATGTGATTCCACCTAGCTTCACCTGCTGCTTCCTGTCTGTTAGGAAGCTTATGATCCATTTACAAGTTTGGTCAGATACCGCTAGTTGTTTTAATTTACTTAGAAGAATATCTGGAATGATGGTATTGAATGCTGAGCTGAAGTCTACAAAGAGGATCCTTGCAGAGGCCTTTGGAGATTCAAGATGTTGTAGGATGTAGTGCAGAGCCATATTAACAGTATCATCTGCTGATCTATATGTTCGGTAGGCAAATTGCAAGGAGTCTAACAGCGGATCCGTGATGGTTTTCAGGTGGGCCAGCACTAGTGTTTCAAGGCTTTTCGTAACTACAGATGTTAGAACAACTGGTCTGAAGTCATTCAGTTCCTTGATGGAGGGCTTCTTTGGCACTGGAATGGTAATAGAGGTCCTTTGATGCCTAGCTTGCAAATATGACATCTCAGACAGCTATGGCCTATGATCATCATTTTTGATATTCCATTAGCTTCTCACAAGCAAAGTCAATGGGGAATCCAGCAGGAAAGATCAGAAGTTGCTCTGATAAGTCATTTCCACCTGTAGCATCCTCCCATTTTTGTGCAATCTCTGCTGGCTCAGTGTCTCCCCAACTCCCATGCAGCCTGCCCTGGGCCTTCCAAGTTCTCCCTCAACTTCTTTCTAGCTTCATGCATGCTCTGCTGAGCCAACCAAGCTCTCCCTCTGATTGCACTCAGCTCGTGCTGGGCATTCAAAGCCTAGTCTGGATTCACACATAGCTTGCAGTATGGCCTTCCCACTGCCTCCTGCAACTCTCTGCAGCATCCTCCTCCCTCCCTTAGCACCCTGATGCTTCCATGTGGGAGTTCTGCCACTTTCCCATTCAATGACCCAAGAATCAAAAACTAGAAAGTCTATTCTCAACTGCACTGTATACCAGCTTTGCAGTCTTCACACTGACCTTTACTGGAAAGAAACTTTTGCATAATCCACATCTACACAGCCTTCTTTATGGCACTTTCTTCACTTGGATTCCTTGGAATTCTATTAATTTATTGTTTCTGACATTCAAACACCACTTTTGCAATGGCCTTAGGGAGAGTTGAAGCTATGCAAGAGCAATTATAGGAAATAATTCACCGAATACCACACTTTGTGCTTCTGACATTGTATTAATGGATTAATGACATTGGATAGAGCTCTGGATTTTTACAAAGCAATAAAAGTCAGAAGTGAAACTGAAAGGCCAACAAGAGAGGAAAGGATGTACAATATAATTTGAAGGGAAAGGTGTGGTTGTTAGCTACGTCTGTCTCTGATTCCTAGCTTCTGGAAGGTATAGAAGATCATTTTCAATTTTAAGGTCTGGCAGAAGGCAATAGTAATTCAAATAGAAAGTTCCCTCAGACACAAATGATTTAAAAAATCCAGCCACCAAACCTTCTGTAAACTGATTGTGCACAGTTGATTTTCCAACTTGGCAACTTTCAGATGTGTGGACTTCGACCCCCAGAATGCCTTAGCCAACATTAGGTTGCCAAGTCTGAAAGACACTTCTCTAGAATATTCTTTGAAGTTTTATGTCAAAGAAACAGCAGGTAGAATATTTTTGCCATAGTAAAACAAAAGAAATTATTGAAATAATTACACGTTAGGCTTAAAACACTAGTAGACATTGAATAAATGTCATTAAAAACTGTACCTTAAAATCTCAATAAAACTTCATTTATCTAAATCAAATTATCTTGACTCAAGTTTGATTTTTATAAAAATAAACCATAATTGTGAACAGAGTCGAGCCTGGGAAAAATCAATTATCTCTAGGAATGCTATTAAAACATCACAATGTTTTTAATGGCAACAATTACTGAAGATTTCTCACCTCCCACATTTACAGAATTCCAAAGAAGTCTCCTTGAACAAATTATTTCTATCAGAATACATATCACTAATAATTTGATCAATTAAATGATCAAATTATTATTAGAGCCCACTATACTATGAGTGAATTTTGTGTGTGCTCATTTTACTTTCACATTGGTGATTCTGGATCACCGTGACAGATGTTACAAGAGTATAAATGATTAGATTAAATATAGATTATTTTCTCCCACTGTTATTATTTATGTAAAGCCTAATGCTCCTTCCTTTTATTCTTCTGCCTCAACAGTCCTGTGAGATGAGCTATGTTGAGAAAGACTAAGTGATCCAAAGTCACTCAGCTGGTTTTTATGCCTAAAATGGGACTAGAACTCACCTGGTTTCTAACTGGTGGCTTAACCATTAAATCAAAGTGACTGTCTATGTTACCTGGAAATGTGGAAACAACTCTAATGGGAATTTGATCGATCATATAGCAGATTTCTGGAGGTGGTACATTTTATGAATATTCCAACTCACTTTAGCTTCATTATTCTCTTGCAAATGGCAACTCAGTCACAGATTCTGTGAAACTGGAAGGAGCAACCCTGATGAAATTAATTTTTCACCTTTTATTTAGCTTACAGCAATCAAACAATGACTACGGCTTTTAGCAGCCCTGTTTTGGAACACATCCGTGAGGAATGTAAATTTGAAAGTACAGTAAGTAAGGGCTATCATTTCAACAGAGGGATGACTTCTTTGTGCTTCTAAATTCTGAAGTATTTTAGTTTATAAGGAATGTATCAAAGGTGCAAATTATACGACAACAGGGTGCATATGTACATAAATACACATTTTTATTCCTACAAATGCATATGAATAACTGTATTTACATGTAGACTTCACTTGTAGAATCAGCTGTATATTTTGACAGTTTGATTGGTGTCTGTAGTTTTGGTCTTATTTTGCATTGCTCTTCCTTTTTTAAAAAAAATAATAATAATACAGTAAGCTCCAATGGCATTCAGAAAAATCTCCTTAATTTTCCTTTGTTATTATTGCTTTTTGCCAGAAGGGATAATAATGTTAATAACACTAGCAATAAAAAAAATCCCCACACAGTTAAGACATTATAAGTGTGGCCATATATTTCCTGACAGATTTAAAAATAGCTTTGCAAATAAATTTCTTCCAAAAGGGAGTGGAACAAAAATTCTTGTTTCAAAATATACATTTTAGTGGCAGTAATAGATTCTTTATGAGAAAATCATGCACAGGGGAACACAATGTTTGCAACAGCATAATACTATATAAAGAAAACAGAATTACATCACTTTATATTGTTTGACTTTGTCGTCTTCACCAAAAGGAAATTATTTAGACTGAAATGATTAACTGCAGAACAACCTGAAAATCACTGATTTATCTTTTAATTCAAAATAGTTTTATGCTACTCTGTATCCCAAAAAATCAAGGGGATATACAAAGTGTAATTAAAACAAGTCCTAATACAGTAGTATTATATTATATCATATAGTCCTTTTTCCTGTATATCATTTCTCCTCATTTTAGAAACAGGCATAGAGATTTGCTATTTACTTTCAACTCTGTCATAATC